AGGGCAGCGCTTGGAGTTTCACCACCTGATCCCTGAAGGGAGTAGCGGGAACCTTGGACACATAGCCGGGCCGGGGCCTCAGGGTCACCTGGTAATCAGCTGGCCCGAACTCTAGGCACGAATCGTTGACCGAAAATGCATGCAGGTCCCCTACCCTCTTGATGGAGGACAATGCCAGCAGGAGCAGAGTTTTCATTGAGAGGGACTTCAGCTCAACCATCTGCAAAGGCTCAAATGGGCCCTGCTGTAGTGCCGTGAGCACTAGAGTCAGGTCCCAAGAGGGTATAGAGGGCGGCCGTGGAGGATTTAACCTTCCCGCCCCCTTAAGGAACCTGACGACCAGGTCATGCTTCCCCAGCGACCTCCCTTGTATGGGGTCGTGGTTAGCAGCAATTGCAGCGACATAAACTTTCAGGGTGGTGGGAGACAGCAAAAAGGACAGCACACCTACGATCGGGCATCTTCGGGGGCCTTCTCGGCGAGAAGAACACCACTCAACGAACAGGTTCCACTTCAAAGCGTAGGCGTGTCTCATAGACGGTGCTCTCCCAGAAGTGATGGTGTAGGCCACTCAGAACCTCTGCGTCCCGTCCAGGGACCAGACATGAAGTTTTCAGAGGTCTGGACGCCGGTGCCAAGGGGTGCCCCGTCTCTGAGTCAGTAAATCCTTCCTCAGAGGAATCGGCCAAGGAGGGGCTGTCGCGAGGAGCATTAGTTCAGGGAACCAGGTCCGGGAAGGCCAATAGGGTGCCACCAGCAGGACCTGCTCCTCGTCCTCCCTGACCTTGCACAGCAACTGTGCCAGAAGGCTCACTGGGGGAAATGCATACTTGCGAAGGCCCCGCGGCCAGCTGTGTGCCAGCGTCCATGCTGAGTGTTCCCTCGGTCAGGCGACGGCAGCAGCTGCACGCCGGGGCAGGATGTACCTGATGGCCTCAGTCTGCTTTGGTCAGCGGAGAACCGCTGGGCAAGTTCTCCACCGTGTCGCCGACAGGCCGGCCTGGGACACGGGGGCGTTCAAGAATCGTGTCTTGTCCATCTCGCACATGTCAGCCAGCCAGAAATGGCGCTCCCGGACCACCATAGTGGACATCGCACGACCTAGAGACCGCACTGTAACCTTCGTCGCTCGTGTCGCGAGGTCGAACTTCCGGGTCGTGACCACCCTCGTGCAAGTCCCTCAGTGCCTTGGCCTAGTGCACTTGCAGTCACGCCGTAGCGTCTAAGGCGGAGGCAGCTTCTCCACAGGTCGTGTAGGCATCGCTGGCCAGTCGAGTACCTACAGACCCGGGAGGGGAGGCACGGTTC